GTAAGTCAGCAGACATACCGCTGTGCCACTGAGGGGCCCATAACTTTTAACCCCAAGCGGCAAGTCCGAGGGCTTAAAACGCTAAAAATTAGGTTTCAATACTCATGGTTAGCACATCACAGGTGGCCAAAGCTTTGTGCAACAAACAAACAAACCCTTCAACTTAGGCTGAGAAAAATTACATCGTACTAAAATTTCTCTGAAATACAATAAAATGCGTTCACTGCAGAACAGTAGAAATTAAGTAATATATTTGTAATAATTATATCATGGCTAAGATTAAAGTTCATGAATAAATGCGATCTTGCATTCATAGTATGCTGATTCATAAGATGTCAAACTGGGTACTAAAAGTTGAATGTGTGTTAGTGATTAATGATTGTTTGTTTGTAATTAAGCACAAAAACTATACAATGAGCTATCTGTACTCTGGTATCAAAACCCGGTTTCTAGCGTTGTAAGTCCGCAGACATTCCGCTGTGCCACTAGGGGGCAAGTGATAAATGGCGAATTATCTTTTACGAATGAATGCACACTAGTCGCTTCCTTTGCATCCAAATCATGATTTAAAAGATTCATATGATTTGCACCATTTTTACAGGGAGTTAATAGTTTGTTTTTGAATTTCGCGCAAAGCTACAAGAGGGCTATCTGCGCTAGCCGTCCCTAATTTAGCAGTGTAAGACTAGAGGGAAGGCAGCTAGTCATCACCACCCACCGCAAACTCTTGAGCTACTCTTTTACCAACGTATAGTGGGATTGACCGTCACATTATAACGCCCCCACGGCTGAAAGGGCAAGCATGTTTGGGGGGACGGGGAATCGAACCCGCGACCAGCAGATTGCGAGCCGATCGCCCTAACCACCTGGCCATGCCGGGCCAACAATGCTTTGTAATCTTTATAAGAGAAAACATAAAAAAGTAGGCTTATTCAGCTATACTCATTACCGGTTTGATGTTTTGATCTAAGTAAGTAGCTTGCTTTGATCACAAGTTAATATTAACCACTTCACTCGACAATATAAGCAGCTTCTTCCATACCGTTGCACATTTTTGAATTTTTCTCACTTAAGAAAAAAAATATTTGTACTAATCTCTTGCTTGATATACTGTTACTTTAATTTGAATCCTTTTCGGCAAACTAACGTTGACCTATTACGCTATTGTTTTAGCTTGTTCGTGACTTTCTTTATAATTCTTCGAAAGAATTTGTATCACGTTGGCTAAATTTAAAGACCACTTTTCAAATTACTTTGAGTTTCGTTACCATCTTCTCTTGGGAACTATGCTTGAAAGATAAGAGTGATTGCTAATGTATGAACCGAGATCTCTTATTGTTGATTTTCTAAAAGATGAATTAGTCAGTCTTTACATTTGGCTATCCTAGCGGCATATAATTGCTATGGATTAAATGAAATAAAATGTGCAGTATATTGGTGAGGAATACTGAATAAAATTAAAATTATCACTGTCATAATGTTTAATTAATGCGCTCAAGCGTTCATTAATATTTAATGTCCTTCAACTGTGAGCACCAGCCATTGGTAGTTTCATTTATCATGTATATTTTAAACTAACACTCTGTATGAAATGTTACCTTTTAAATAAATATTAATCACATCGTACCTATGCTGAATGTCTATCCATCGGCTGGCTACCGACACAGAAAAAATGTTGTTGTTGTACTTCAAGGTTCTTAAATAACAGATCCGAGAAACATTTTGTAAAAACTCAATACAGTAAAATTGATTTAAAAATTGGTTTGGATTGTTTTAAATTTCGCACAAAGCTACACGAGGGCTATCTGCGCTAGCCGTCCCTAATTTAGCAGTGAAAGATTAGAGGGAAGGCAGCTAGTCATCACCACCCATCGCCAACTCTTGGGCTACTCTTTTACCAACGAATAGTGGGATTGACCGTCACATTATAACGCCCCCACGGCTGAAAGGACGAGCATGTTTGGTGGGACGAGGATTCGAACCCGCGACCCTCAGATTGCGAGTCGAGCGCCTTATCCACCTGGCCATGCCGGGCCAATATCGAAGAAAAAGACGAAAGCTATGCATTTTTTAACCTTTTGTTCCCTATAAAAATCATTTTTCGTTTTGTTACGAATGTCACATTTTTTACATAAAAATGCTCATTCAATCAATTAAGAAATCCAAGTAAAATATAAATATGTCTTACTTGCATAATTCTATTTTCAGGTGCCTCCTGTCTTCTTTAATTCATATTTAGTGCAATACGTTTTTGGTTTACTCTACTCTACTCAATGTTTTGGATCTACATGGCCTGATGGTTAGCTGTTGATTCGATGATTCATGGTTCGCTAATCACTGCTCTACACTTTGAGTCGTGGGTGTTTTACATTATAGGTGGGCATATCCTAGTATTCGATAAATAAAGAGTAGCCCAGGATTTGGCAGTGGCTGCTGTTGACTAGCTGCCTTTCCTCTAGTCTTTCAGTTCAAAATTAGAGATTGCAATAAGCTTATAGTCCACGTGTAACTTCGCGCAAAAAGTCTGAAAGAAATGAACAAACCCAGTGTTTTAGTACATATTCTACACCCCGCAACTACTCAGAAGTTTTTAATGGTGCCATATCTAAGCACAGTAAATTTATGGCCTAAGAAATATGCCATTATAGTTCATAAAAGTAAATAATTAAAAATAATAATGTTTCTGAAAGGTAGATCATTTGACCATACTTGTTTCCGTTTTAATTTCTAATGTAATTGTAAAGGGATATTCGGAAGATTTTATCTTATTTGGTTGTATTTGATACATTTTGTAATCCCACACTCATACTTTAAACTGTACTCACCCACACACACGACTAACATTTTTAATGCCAACAAGCACAACTTATTTTAACGCCTTTTGTCGTCTATAGTGATGCAGATGTACACACGTGTGCTGAAGAAAGCGTCTGTTTGAGAGCACAGCCACATTGGGCTATCTGCTGTGTCCATCACGTGGAGTTGAACCCAGGATTTTAAGAGTTGTAAGTCCATACACTTACCACTGTCCTACCAGGAAATTGAAGCAAGTGTATTATAACAGAGATATATCTATATCATATTGATATACTACAAGAAATGATTTTCTTTGGTGGAAACAAGACAAGCGACTCTTAGGGCATCCACCAGCGAGTTAAAAAATAACATACAAAATTAAAATGTATATATTGTTTTTATTTCTGCAAAAGTGGAACAAAATATGAAATATTTTACCTCTTAAAATGATAATTAATCATATAATTTGAAACTTTAACTAAAAATATAGATGTATTCGGGAAGACAAGTCTCCTTAAACCTCCCACTACCACATAATCTACTAATGGATTGATTGCCCTACTGCATCAGCTATATTACCCGATTAAGTCATGAGTACTGTTTTGACAGTGTATTACTGAACCCTGCCCACTTGTGGCTCAGCTGTGTGACTGAGGCTTATATTTCTTAAATTCGGAGTTCGATCCCTGTAGTGGGTTCGATGCATATGTCTTTATGCTTAAAATAAATGGTTATTCAACTCTGTATGTTTGATAAGTCATCTGTTACATACACTAACAAAAACCAGCATGAGTATAAATATTAACAACTAAATATTTCAATTGATAAAACATTTGTACCACTGACAAATTACTTGGTCATAAAAATATGTTAAGTTGTTTATCAAAATTAATTTCTGTACTAAATTCATGATGCACTCCTTGTGAACCTCATATTCTGTAAAGTTACTGGCCCTTCAAACAAAAAATTTAGAAAAAAAATACTAAGAAGCTTACAAGGAATTTCAATAGAATATCAGTAAACTGCAAAGTAAATAACAGAATTTATATAAACATACAAGAATATTCTTATTTTCGTTTCTAATTTAGAATGTCTGTACTTTACTAGGAAATTATCAAATGTCAGTTCAATTTTAAGGTAACATAAAAAAAAAATTGTCAAAGTGAACCAAAAAAAAAGGTTCAAACTCGATGAATTGAAACTGTTTAATCTGAAGGACACATTAATGTGTATGTAGGCTTGAAGGCTAGTTAGAGACCCACTGGGTTCATGTACAGCCACCCTTAATTTTCAAAGACTAAAAAGAGGGAAGGCAGCCAGGCAAACAAGTAACACCCATCATCACATGGGCTTTTTTCAAAAAACTAAAAAATTTAAAAGTTATTGATTTATTAAAAACAAGTATATAAAAATCACTGATTCAATGACAACTAATTATAGATGGTTTTTCCCTTTAAGCTATTTAAGTACATTAAATAGCAATATATGTAAGAGTGTGTGTAAATTTGTGGGTGTACAAACACACACATTGTACCTGAGCTACTTTTGATTAGTACTTCAAAATTTTCTCTACAAATGTCGCTCTCAACAAAGCTGTTGCTGCCCATTTCACCTTTGTTCATCACGAATATCTTGTCTAAATCATCTATAAAAATAGTGATATATGGTTTAAAAAATATCGTAAGCAGATTGTAAAGATAAAAAAAGGCAAAAATTCATCGGTGACTAATCAAGAGACAGGTGCATGATCGACACAGGAAGCAAATATTACAATGTATCATTACAGTGGTGCAAAAAAATTAAAATCGGTTGGTGAATTTGTATAAATATTCCAATACTGCGCTTTCTTTTACTCAAGCATTCAATATTTCATAAATATTTATATATTACTTTATATATAACTATGAATTATCTTTATCTCATAATGATATTGTTGATAAACATGCGTAAAAGTCCTGCATATGGTTATTGAAGCACTGTTTCAGATCTTTTTGCCCAATTCCTGCAGTCTACCTGACATAATTTCAGATAGTATGAAAGCACCTACAATTTCACATTTCTGAGATACTGCCAAAGCAATTCAATAGTTATGATAGTTTTAGCCAATCAGAAGTTAAAATGTGTGATACAAAATTGCACATTACAAAACATCACCAGCATGTAAGTAAGATTTGAATATTTTGCACTAGTTCTCTTGGCAATAATGAATAATGACTGCCTTTATTTTGGTTTCTGATGCAAGACTACACTTTGTATTTCATACATCATTATCAGTAACAATATTAACCCTTTAAGTGTTATCACTGTACGAGATACAGTAGTCCGTGAGAATGCTATCACCATCTAACATACGGGTTTATTTTCCCTTCACTCTTTGAATCCGTATCGGCACTCTCACGAGGTAACTAGTCAGAGCGCCAATACAAATTCAAAGGGTGGCAGGAAAAATAAACCTGTATGTTACACAGTGATAGCATTCTCACGGACTACTGTATCTCGTATAGTGATAACACTGAATGGGTTAAACAAAAAAAATTTAATTTAATCACACTTTCCTCTAATGTCTTACGAAGTACAAGGATCTCACATAATTTAACAATACTGGTATGTTTAAATAAGAAAAATGTGTGTTTATATACATTATATTAAACATTACATTAAATTGAATACTCTTAGAAATATTGTTATAATGCTTAATAAGATATACTAACTAATGTTTTATGAATAGAATGGAATATCTTGGATCCTAAGTTCTGATCTATACAAGTGTATATGTTATGTAAAGTGTCTTGAGAACACTAAGTAACAAAAACAATAAATATGTCATTTGTATTACATACTTCATACTGCTATTAATAGAACTTAAAACATTTCACAATTCCAAAAGTATATTGTGATATTACTGCATATGAATGTTTGATAAATCCAGAACTATTCATACTAGGTTTACATTATTAACATATAAATTAAAAAAGAAAAAAGTGGGTTAGAATAACTGGTAGTTAGCATATAAAAACAAAACTTTGACTAATGCAGTTCAGATACAAGTTTTTATATTTAATTTTTATTTAATGTGATAAAAATCAATGTTTTTGTAGGTACATACAATATTTAAATATTATTACTAGCATCTGAATGGGTACTTCACATGTGATTTTTTTTTTGCCACAATTTTTGTCTCCTCCACTAATGGTGATAATACAAATAATGTATCCCGTAAATTTAGCTGAACAGCCAACTCAACCTCCACCATCATCCCATATTTTTTCGGTTGCCCCAGCCTCTTCTATGATCTATTTTGAAAGAAAAATAAACTTTGACTGGTTTTTGCATAAAATTAACTTTAATTTGTTCAAAGATATATAAAACATACCTTTCTTTATACATAAACTGAAAACGAACAAAATAATAAACATATACATTTTTGCAGGTTATAAAAACACTAATATATCTTAATGAAGTAAACATATGCCAGAAGCATTCTCTAAAACAAAAGTCTTGAGAAAGAATTCAAATATAGGGAGGCCCCAAACAGGACTCTGAATCATTATAAACATAGTGTTTATCTTTTCAAAATGACCTACTCTATTCTTAATTACATTACTGTTTACAAGTTTCATATATAAAAAATGCTGGCAGAAAATATGTTGTTTTCTATACATGTTTTATAGAAACCAATTTCTCCTGTGCCAACCAATAATTTACTTTTTAGAACAATAACTTTTCAATAACTTGGTGAAGGTCTCATCACTTACATTAATAATAAATGAACCAAATATCCTCTGGAAGATGAAGTCCACAGTGAACTTTTCAGTATGTTATCAAAATATTTCTTTCATAAATAAAACTTTAAAAAACACATTACAAAATATTTATGTACCATCTTTCCATTCATCCCACTCTCTTGCTTTCTTCAAAGTTTCATGGTCTTCTGTTTCTTCCTTCTGTTCCTTTTCAGTTTCTTCTTTTTCTGCATTTAAAGTGTCTAATTCAGAGTTCTTGTCTTGAAGACTGGAACTAGCAAAAACAAACAAAAAAAAAAACATTTATAATTCCATCAAGGTTTTATATAGAACTTGAAGATTTGGCACATGATACATTTTGTAAATGAAATGTCCAGAAAAAATAAAAGTAACTAAGAAAACAACATCTAAATATCTTGCACAGTACAATAATCACATTTAAATGTTTAATTTTTCTTTTTTCATATGACTATTTGCATTAGCTTCAAATTGTAAAACAAAATTAAGAATTAAACTATACTTACAAGAAGTTGAAAGCCCTAAAAGATCCCCCAAATAAATCCAAGATTCCATAAACACAAAACATTTAAATTCACTTTTTTCAAAATAAACATAATGCTTAGACCCACAAAAAGAAAACTAGTAAACGAATATAAAAATATATTCATTTCTAAACCTTAAGTTGTTTTGGTTTGAAAACAAGTGTATTTGTGATAAATAAATTAACCCTTATTTTACATCAAAAATTTTCTTTTTAAAATAAAAAGCAAAATTGAAAATCAATTCTTAACTTATAAATAGACCCAATTATTTGTAAATTAAAATTGATGTAAGTTTGTTTGTTTTAGCACACTGGCCAACACAGGGAATTTCACCTCAGATTTTAGCATTGTAAGTCCATAAACTTACCACTGATCCACCAGAGGATCAGAAGATAATGTAAAAATAAAAGTTTCTTTCACTTTATAATCAAAAATGCCAAATCTTAAAATAAATTTGGTTCATTTTAGAAAGTGTAAAATTTGAAATAAAATCAACACATAAATGTAATTTCAGTATCTCAAATCCAAATATTGCAGAAGTAATTTAACCAATGTTATTATACATGTACCTCTTAGTTGAGATGATAATTTTAAATTTTCCTAAAGTTTCATGCTTTTTTAAAAGCAAATTTATATTCTTGTAAATTTAATTCAATAAAATTACCAATACTTAACCCTTTCTAAAATTCGACTGTGTCTTGTATCTTTTCTAATACTTACACTTGAAATTTATGTTGATTCTGTGAATTATCTCCATATTTTTGTTCATAGAATTCATCAACAGTCATTGCAGGAATGCCTGGGTATCCAGCACCAAACACCTTCTTCTGCATTTCATTCCTTGTGATTATTATAGGTTTCAGCATCTAAACAAAATTAATATAACCATAACTATGAGTAATTACATGTAAGTGGACTCGTATGAAACTGTTCAGACTAGGCTACATTTCAGTTTACAAACAGCTCAGTATACAAGAAGCTCAGTTTCTTACTAGGCATTTTTTACAGCATTTTAAAAATTGTACAAATTTATGCAAGCCTATGACCGTATCAGAGTTTTGTAAAATGTTATCTACAAAATGAATTTTTCTTCCCTGAAGAAATGTTTAATCTTTCATTAAAAACAAAATTGATTAATATATCTTGAAAAAGTCTGTGAACAAAAGTGTTTTAAATAATGTTTGACATTCCAAGCAATTACAGTGATTATATAAAATACTTTGGAAAATATATTATTATTGTATTCATTACAATGTTACCTTTCAATATATAAATTGTTAGATTAAAAAAAAAACCTTATAATGAGTGGAAGCAACTGATACTTAGGGCAAAGAAACAAGATGAAAACTAGCTGAAAGGAAGCTTTTGATAGTTTTCTTTCATTAGTTTTCCAAACAGTGAATAAGACAAAACAAACAATAATAGAAAAGGATGTTCCACCAATATTTTTTTTTGTCTTCATAGCTTCTAGTACTTTATATTAAAGGTATATCCCTCCACCAGAAGCAACAAAAATAAGAAATTCATAAATAATCTACCTGCCTTTATAACTTGAGAATAGTTGGATACATATGAACACTTCTTGGTACACTTACTTAACTAAAAACTTTGTACCCCAACAGATCAATAATTTACAATACAATGACCTCCAGTTCTAGGCAAAATTTAGTAAAAAGTCATACTTAAAAATGAGGAAATTAAACAATACTAAGAACAAAATTTTAAAATCTAATAGACTAATGCGATACTATACAAACTATGTTTTTCAACTTGTATACTAGTGTAATGAATGTTTTAAAATAAGAGTCTATAAAAAGAAGCATATAAAATTTCAAAACTTGGGCAGGCAAAATTGTTGAGGAATGTCATTTTTAATAATAATAAAATTTATAATAAACATTCAAGTATATATGCAGTGTTTATTAACTTGATGATGTCATTAATGCCATTTAATGTAATGATTTTATTACTTCCATTCAAAAAATGAAATTTCAGAGTTTTATGAAAAAGATAAACATAATGTTAGTGGTTTTAAAACATAGTATATAATTTAGTTTTATAGTGCCATTTAGAAGAGCATACAGTGCACTTAAGATACATTTTTAGCCGTTCATTTTTACAGCTCTGAAATTTACACATCATCATGAATCATGTCTAAAATTAAAACATACTGCTCTAATTCTTAACATGTAATTTTTCTAAGGATAGTAGCTTAGGAATATTTATGTTTCCAAAAAAATGAGAAACAGAAATGAAGTCCATACAAATGTACCAATATTTGAACTCAGCAATTAACAAAGAAACATTACTGATGTCATGAATTGTCATTGTATAGGTTACTGGTTAGTTCACACTTGGACTACTGTGTTCAGTCTTGGGCTCCTTACCCCAGAAAGGACATTGAATTGTTGGAACAGGTTCAGAAAAGGATTACTGTGATGACAGCCTGATGGAAAGGTTGTCATACAAGAAATGTTTTCTCTTGAAAAAAAATTAGAGAAGATCTCGTTGAAGTGTTTAAGATTGTACATGAATTTGGTAGTGTTGATGTATGATCATTTTTTTTAGATTTAATGGTGAAAATGGTACAACTAGGGGACACAAGTATAAATTTGAGCAGGGTAGGTGTTATCTTCAGCTAAGACAGCTTTATTTTTCTAACAAAGCAGTTGGCCTTTTCAGCAGGTTGCCTTCAGATGTGGTAGATGCAGTTAATTTAAGGAAATCTGAAGGAAGACTTGACAAATATTTGAATGGTAAGAGCTTGTTTTGAGTGTTTTATTTTAATTTTAATTTGGTATAGTGGATGAGATTGTCTAAATGTACCAACAGATTGCATGTTGTCCTTAGATAATGTGTGTGTGTGTGTGTGTGTATATGAAAGAGATGTCATAGATATGCAAAATAAGCACTATACTTGTTTCGTACCTTTAAACAGAAATATAACTAATCAGTGTACAAGGAGCAAAATTGCCACAATTTTTACATAAATAAATCATTTTTAAATTCAAAATAAGAGGAATGGAGTGTTCTCATTAAATTCTGAGTTAAATGAAGTACCTTTTTCTTTCCTGAAACATTTTTGGCTTCATGACCCTTGTCACCATCTGTTTTCCTTTTACTCAAGTGCTCAAGAATTGGCTTTTCCACTATAAAGGAAACAATTAAAAATTTATGTTATAATCAATGTTTATTATGCTCTACCTGCTTCATGTAAGTAATGGATAGTGTAGCATTATAACTCTAAAATAAGTAGTTCTTAAAGTATTTTCAACGATCATCATGCAGTATTTTTATGTATCATTCAAAGCTTGTAGTATATAAATACTACAAACCTCACTCTCTTTAGCTTTATATTTCATCTTTACAGAATTTTCAAATTACTAAAAGTTTCAGCCAGGAACTTGCTAGAATCAGTTGAAACTTGGGATGTTACTTTCTGTAGCTGTTACGATCAAGGAACTTACCTAATGTTTTGTGAAATAGCTAAACTGAGTCCTTGTTTACCTAATAAATGGACGACTACTTTGTGACCCTCACATGGAAGAGAGATACTTCCTTATTTTGGTGTCTACTTTTGAATTGGTTGACTATAGAGAGAAAGTGCTTTGTGAATGCATTTTTGGCAGTCTCAGACAGATTCTTTTCCATCTTTGAGAAGAGCAGACTCAAGACTGAATGGGCTAATACCCATCAGTGGAGTACTGTCTTTTGTTTTACTTTGTTCTACCTCTGATCTTGTAGCTGATCATGTGTTTACCAGTGAGAATTTACTTTCATTTTCTGTATTTAAATACAGCATTAGCTTTTACTTTTATTATTTCTTAGATACAACATTTTCTCTCTTAGCTTTTACTTTTATTATTTCTTAAATACAACATTTTCTCTCTTAGCTTTTACTTTTATTATTTCTTAAATACAACATTTTCTCTCTTAGCTTTTACTTTTATTATTTCTTAAATACAACATTTTCTCTCTTAGCTTTTACTTTTATTATTTCTTAAATACAACATTTTCTCTCTTAGCTTTTACTTTTAATATTTTTTTAAATATAACATTTTCTCTCTTAACCTTTACTTTTATTATTTCATACAACTTCACAGTGCAATAAAAGCTTTCCACTTAATTATCATTTTTTTTTTTATCTTCACTTCTTCTTCAGAAAAGTAAAGTTTATTTTCATGTTACACTTCATCACTTTGCTTTGTCTTCTTTTTTTTTTCAATCACCTGTGATAAATCAATACACTCATCCTTCCACATACTAAACTCAAGACCCCCTAAAGTAAGGAAAACTTATTGTAGTCTATCTAAAGCTCCCCTGAATAAAGTAACATTTCATTTTATAGAAGGTTCAGTGTGAAATGTACCAAGTAATCTAACACTCACCATTTAGATTATTGAATCTATTTTGTTGTAGCTACAAAAATGTTTTTTTATTTTATCAGTTTGTAGTAATTCAAGGATGAACCTAATCTCTGCAAAAACTAGAATTAGAGTTTTGAGCAAATTCCTGTGTCATCCCTATAATGAACCACTATCGTGGTTTCTGAGTAACTGAACAAGTGATTGGTTTCTCAGTGTTAAGACTGTTCTGCTTAAAGTTATGATGATTTTTAGAATAATTATTTTACTATTTAGTTTTGTTACATTTTATGCACCCTGTTTAGTAATGTGGTAAGTGTTGTTTGTTTTATTTTTAAAATGTTTAAGCTGTTGACTGTAACTTTGCCATCAGTTCTTAAGGTTTCTCAATTAACATTTTTGTATCTTTTATATGAAGAACATTTGGGCAAAAACCACCTTAAAAAGCAGGCTTATTCTTGAAACAACACTCAAAATGTTCATGTTCAATATTAATGCTACAAATAAATGACCTTATAACACCAATATGTTGTTTATATTTAACTAAACACTCAATGTTTCGCTTTACAGCTTCTTCAGGTGTGTTAACTAAAACATAAACTGAAACTGGCAGCACAAAGCTTCAAAATGATGCATTTACTCTTTAGTTGTTGTACCTATTTATATATAATGGTCACATCTCAAACATCACTTTCTAGTAAAGCCTACTATAAATACATAAAGAGAAATGTGTGCATTAAGAAAAGATAAATTACTTTTGTTTAAAGGTCGTTGTCAATCATGCATAAACTCATCTCACATGAATTTAGTTATACACAATTCAAAATCAGGAAATTTTATGAAAAATTTATATATTTATATTTATATGTATGTATATGGCCAACATCATGTACATATTTAAATCTATTTTTCAAACGTTGTCCAACAAATTGTTTTTGCATTTCCCATGAGAAAAAATTGCATATCCAACTATGTTATGTATGAGTGTATAATTCACACTTTAAAAATAAGTTAGGTTACTTACAAAATAAACCTCATTTACAAATTACTATTGTCATTTGTAGGAATATAATTTGAAATTCAGATTCAAATGTAGAATTTTTTTACTTACTCTCCAAGGAACCAAGTTCATCAAGAGCTGTGCTGATCCACTTTTTTATGGTTAAGAGCCAGTACTCTCTCTAAGAATGCAGCAGACATTAGAAGATACCGTGGAAAATACTTTTATGAGTAATTTTATTGTTAGTACTTGTTACAAAGACCATGCACACTTCACCTTAAAGTTATAGTAACAATTATTTAACAATCTGGAATACAAAGCATATCATGGAAAAGTATTCAAAGTACAATAGAATCGTATATTTAGGCTAGTTTTCATGTTGATAATTTCCTAATTAGTTCTCTCCGGTATTAAGCACTGACAAGTAAGATCGGTTAATTGTAAACTGTTCTAAAAACAATAAAAGCTACTCTACTCAAGCCCTACTTCTATACTATCATAAGTTTTTATTCATATTGATTCCCTTTATATGTATTATCATTGTGTAATTAATACAAGAACTTTGTGAAGAGCAGTACAGTGTATATCATTATTATGTGAAGTTTTGTTTTGACCTCACATATAAAGTAATGAAAATAAAAGGAGATCTTGAGAACACATGCTGGTTAAATCATGCTGACTTTACAATGACAGTTTATTATCACAGTTATCATATTAAAGATTTTAGAAAAAGATTGCTATGCAGTAAAGTAAGCATGATATTAATTTACAGAAACACTACTTAATTTTGTATTTATACACATACCTCAACAATCTCTTAATTATCACAAGTCATTAGTCAAATTCAAAGACAAATGTATATTAGCAATGAGACAGTAAGTTATTACAACAGATACATTCAATTAATCAACTGATATACATTCCCTTAATACCTTAAAAATAATCAACCATACTTTGATAACAGCAATACTTCATGTTCTCCTCACTGAATTTCTTTGATTCATAAAATTCTTGATAGGCCAAAGTTAACATTTTTCTAAACTGAAAATGTATTTCCAATAATACTTACCTCCACTGACACTTTAGCTATTTCTTGGTCTTCAAGGTTTCTACCTCTTTGCTCATCTAAGCATTGAACTCGCTTGCAAAATTCTCCACCAACATCAATACGCCCTCCATCCAAGTACTGTATATAAGCACCTCATTCAGATAATGTAATCACTTGTTCAAGACTTAAGCCATTCCCAATGCTAACACTGGCTCTTAGTGGGGAGGAAAGCTGGAAGAGTATCAGTGAAGGTAAGTATTATTGAAAATACATTTTCAATTTAGGAAAATGTTAACTTCCAAAACATACTTAACATTCACTGACACTTTAGCTAGAATCCCACACTGAGAAGGTGGAGGAGCCAGTTAGGGCATTATCCATACAGAAAGCATCCGCTTAGAACCTGGATGTACCAAGATAAGAGTGGTACCCAAGTGAGGAAAACCACACTACATCCAGAACAGGTATGCTCTTCACCCAGAACTGAATATTGATATCAAGGGTAGAATTGTACATGAACAATTATTAAAGGCCAGCCCCAATCAGATAGCCGAGGTTCTACCAACTTGGTGTTGGAATTAAGGGGTCTTGGTTCCTATATCCTATGTTGGTGGGACAATTGGACCGCAATGTGATATATAGATATATTTTGTATTGGATCCCAACTTGTAGCCATAAAGTGATGCATTCCCAAACCACCGGAATTACAAGAAGAAAGGAATCAACACTGAAGTGGACAAACTTTCTCTTAAGACAATCTTAACATCCCAATTAGGTAATTGAAAAGGCTGTTTGGGCCAAAGAATGTGAAAGGATTTTGAAAGATTAGACATAACTGGAGAGTTAAAAACCTTCTTATATTTGGAATATCCAAAAGAAGTCGATAAGGATATGTGCCCCCTTGACGAGAAATGTAGGATCAAAGTTCATGCTCCGCTGGTCACAAAGCGACCAATGAAGGGACCTCATATGGGCTTTTCCCAAGGGAATAGGAGATTTGAGGGATGTCCACATCCCCAAAAAAGAGAGAGAACCATTTGTGCAGTAGGAGAAGGAGACATAAGTAAAAGACTGATTGTTCTTTCCAATAGCTTGTAGTCTGATGGGAGTCGGCTGAGCCCGACCTAAGTACATGTTGTAGAAGACCCAGAGATGGACAAGGTATTGAGTTGTTGAAAGAATGGATTTCTCTACTTTGATAAGGAAGCTTCCCTTTGCGGCCTCTGGGTATCTTGTTCTGTCAACTGACAAGATGGTGCCAAAAGTAGCCAGTTGTCCAAATAATGATGTGTTCGCAGGGCAAAGGAATGCAAGTGGCAACAAAAAGCTCCTACCTTTCTGCAAAAGACATAAAGTGTTGATGCATGGCCAAAAGGCAGAGCTCTGAACTGCAGCACTTGACCCTTGTGCACAAATTGTATAAATCGGCGGGATGACTCTGCTGTGGGAATGTGAAGATATTCTTCAGTAACATCGAACTTGATCATCCAAAGACTGAGTGAAAAATGCTATTGTAAGTTGAGAAAAGATTCCATCATAAAACAAGGAGGATCCGAAAATTGATTGGATCCTGACAGATCGATAATTAGATGCCAATCTCCAGTTTTCTTGGGCACCACAAAAAGATGGGAATAAAATCCCAGAAGAACGGGATTGACCCTCTCTACCGTCCTTTTTGTCTAACAACTCTCTAATGGCTTGAGGACAAAGTTCCACTTGCTGCGGATCTGTTGAAGGTGAAAAAACAACAAGTTGGGTGGATAATGGAGGTGGAGATGTAAACTGAATGTTCAAACCTGACACCAGAACACAGATGGTGAAGGAAATCCAGCTGTTGATAAAATGATGTAATCATCCTCATACAGGACCCCCCCCAGTACATGGAAGTCACTGAGGCTGTTGGCACCGATCCATCCTAGCAGAAGATCCATGAAGATAAGGACGGATTCTATTGTGTGAACCAATAGAATGAGGGAATGAAGTTGGGGGTTGGAAAACATGATGGGCAGACACTCCCAAACTACCAGCTGTTGTCAAAGAGAGATGAAAGGCCAATGACGATAATGAATAATGTAAACGGGCAGCATCTATCCTTAATTCCAAGATCTTTGGAACTCCAGCAAATAACAAGGGACAAAGAAAAAAGGCGTCCCATAATTTCCGAAGAGCAGTAGATAGTAGACGAACACCCTCCAACAAGGCATCTCTACCCAATAAGTTCCAGCAACAAACAAGCAAGGAAACTAAGGAAAGAACTGAGGTCAACAATCTGACCATAGTTGTCATCAACAAAGGTCTCATCTCGTCCTTAAACTGGTAAGGACAACATTGATAAGCTTCAGACAAAAGTTGGAGAAAAGATAAATATTGCAGGACTGTCATGAGTGTCAGACGATTTCGAAAAAAATTTGATCTGTTTAAGGTGATCACAGGTTCCAATCTGAAATTCCACATGTCCAAAAGGGGAGTCCAGTCATTGAGACCCTAAGGATACCTCTTCCTGGTGGTCAAAAGCCAAGAAATGCTGTTCTGATAAACATGGAGGACAAGTTATAGCTATCTCTTCATGTAATTGATTAGCAAATCTCCCAGCATGAACAGCACTATCTGGAGATGGAGAAAGAACTAAGTAGTCACTTGCCATCGTTTCTGCCAACAAGGAAGGAGTAGACTCAAAAGCAACAGGGGATAAGCCAAAAACCTCACAAAATCAATTAACCAACTGAATAAAAGGAGCAGGAGGTGGTTGATCTAGATTGTCTTCTGTTGAAATGAACCTGGTAAACAAAGGAGCCAGAAAAAGGGAATCTAAATTCTCCCCAGCATGTCCAGGATAATTGGCAAATTCCAGATAGCAGAGGTGGAATAGGGGAAGTTTGGTTAGCCTCTATGGTGGAAATGTTAACTCAGGAATTCATGTCTGAAAAATGGCATTTTTTTTTTTAAATAAACTAAATTTTCACTGTAGAAAACAGAAATCGACATTGAAAGTCACAACTGAAAAACTTTAACAATCACAGTGCTCCTGTATAGAAACCTATGCTGAACACTTTGTCAAGAAAGAGTGATTACATTATCTGAATAAGGTGTTTAAATACAGTACTTGGATAGAGGGTGTACCGATGTTGGTGGAGAACTTTGCAAATTAGATATTGCCAAGGACATTCAAGTGGGGTATAAAAGACTGGAGCAAGCGAGTTCAATACTTAGATGGGCAAAGAGAAGATCGAGAAATAGCTGAAGTGTCAGCAAATGATAAGTATTTCCAATTTGATGACGAGGAACCCACTTTGAGACTAATAATGCTTGGAGATAGCTGGAATGGGTAATGAAGAAAAACTTTAATATAAGTTTAACATAACAGCAAATGGACAACATTTCGACAAGGTTTTGTCTTCATCAGGTGATGATGACAAAACCATGTCAAAACGTTGTACATCTGTTGTTAAACTTATAATAAACTTTTTCTTCATTACCCATTCAAGCCATCTCCAAGAATAATAAGTATGTTTTGAAATGCACAGTTTCTATTTGAGTATTATTAATTCATAAAAATTCAAAAACTTTCTACTGAAAGAAAGAACATTAAATGAGATAAATTTGAAAGATCTGAACAAATTCTGAAGGTTTAATTTCTCCAACACTGCGTCACCTTTCTGGATTTTGAATTTAGCCTGATGGACATTACTATGGTTGACTTAAGAACATGTACAGTAAAACTTCATGCAATTTTCAACAAAATGAAATCAAATTTTGAGCTTACATATAGTAAAAAAGTGTAACTTGTATTCACAAAACACCTATGCCCCCACTAATGTTACACTGTTTGTTGAAGTCTCTCCAATTTGATTGACTTTGACCTTCAACAAATGGCATTCAAAATTTAATCAAACTTTGTATGTAGTACTTATTGTACAAGTTTAGTGAATATCCATTCATCATGTATTGAAGTATTACGTCCACAAGGTTGGAGAATATTTTTTATGTACCAATGGTTATATGACTTTGACCCATAACTTTAACAATTTATTCAAATTTAGAGCTTTGTATGTAATAACTGCTGTATGAGTTTCGTCAAAATTCATCCATCCAATCTTGAGATATTCTGTCCACAAGATCAGGAGATGAACAGATAGACAGGAGAAGACCAATATGCCCCACTCTACTTCTCTAAGAAATGGAGGCATAAAAACAACAGATGTTTTAAAGTTTCAACTATGTCTAGGAGGTTAGAAAAGACAATGAGAGCTATTACCTAGGCTAGCCATATTGACTTACATGGCAGTACTTATTATTCAAGTATGCCTTCAGATAGGAAAAATTCATATACAATTTTAACATACAATATTACAATAAATCAAAAACTGTTGATAGACATACCACAATTTCTTCATCTGTGGATGGATTTTCAATACATTTTTCCAGATCATTTAATTTATTTTCCATTTCTTTTTGTTTTTTGTATCTTGCAATTTTTTCTTGTCTTTTTTTCCCCATTGCTGATAATTCTGAAAGATTTATCGGAGCTCCTGAAGATGTGAACTTTTCACTTGTGAAGGCATCAGGTTCTAGAAGTTCTATTTTCTCTATATTATAATCATTACAACGTTGAAGAAAGTCTCTAAAGTAAACCTATAATGGGTCAAAAAATTACATTTTTCTACATATTTCATTCAAAATCTTCAAACTACTAATTTCAAACACACTATGTACTTTTCATTTATTTGCAAAACACCAATCAACCATGAATAAAATAGTATTTAGGTTTTTATAATGCATAATCCAATCACTTCTCAGTACACCAAATTACAGTTCATTGTTAAAAACCTTAGATTGTCAGTTTAATAATACACTCAAAAACAAAAACTAACAACCCGAAAGAAATACAATTCTAAATAACTCGAAAAACAATTTTTTTCAATATGTTACTATTCACAATTCACTCTAAAGAATCCCACAGTAGTTGCATGACTGAATGACAATTTAATTTTTGTATTAGTTATCTGTGCTCTTTCTCATTTTTTTTCTCTGAAAGACCAACAGTCAAATCCTAGTTTCTTTCTTTCTCTTATATATTTCTTTATGTTTTTGTTCATAACTAGTGTGAAGCCTGTTTGACATATTTTGTCTTAAATTATTTGCATTTCCTTTTAGTTCTTTTATCTGTATATAAATGTTTTCTGACAATTTTGCCTACAGTTATTTCATTTAATCAAGGATTATACACTTTGCTGTGATTTTAAATTATGATTTTACATATTTTTAAGTATTTTTAAAATACAACGTTTTATACTCAAATTTTATTGTTTACAGGATGTAGGAAAAGTGGGACTGAAGAGTAGTGAAAGCTATGAAACTGGTTCTCTAAATAGAAAGTAATTTTTAAATAATTGTAAAAGTTAAAAGGAAGAATAAAACAAACTGCTGCATGAAATACATATAATTTTGTCTTTAAGCAAGACCCATCATAACATGGAGTCAGAATGTTTTTTAGATGGAGTGAACACTAAGATTAAAGGCTAAGGGATTGGTAAATCAAGAGTCTAGCCAAATTCCTTCCTTAACATGTTCACTGCCACTGGATGCACATGTTCTTCTAAAGGTATGTTAGCCAGTGCCACTGACACATAGATGCATCTGTGCATCAACAAAAGAATTGAGGCAAATGCATTTTATTCGAGTCAGTATGCATTAAAAATCAATTCTGTTGTGGCAGTTCTCACTTGAGGGTCTCCTTGCATAGCAATTTTGCTTGGTTATGGATTTTATATATATATATATATATATATATATATTCCGTTTGTCTTTTATAAAATGGATAAAAATATTGCTCCTTCAAAGCACATGATAAAAAAGAATTCAAAACCCCACAGAAACTTTAATGTGATATTTCCATGACTATGATTCACCTTTCTTGTACATTTTAAACGTAACCAAAACCCATGACAAGATATAGAAAATAGATGACATACACGTGCATCATTCGGCACTCATAACATAACTTTAGATGCAGTGCTGATGATGCTCATGTGCATCAAGATACAGATTTTAGTTGAATAAGCATATATGCCCATAAATACTCTACCTGATATTATTTTGCATCATTATTTGGCATGGTTATCGATCTACGAGGTGGCACTTAATAACCACTAAGATTACCACCATTCTAGATTTGTTAGCTTAATTAGCTAAAGTATCTGTCCAGTAAGCACAGTGTCAGATTTGAATCTCATCCAATCTCAATTTTCACTTCTTCAGAAAATTTCTTGAGGTATCATAAGCTCCAAACAAACCTTGTTTCCACATAAATATCACTGCACACAAAATGAAACTCTATGTACTACATTAAAAAATCTTAATGTTTTTTATATGAGACCTGAAAGCATTTGTGGGAGGAACATGTAGCCAAATTCCTGGATATATAGTACTTACATAAATGAATAAAATAGATTGCATTCAAAAAACTGTCTCTGATATATTTTATAAATGATGTGGTACATGATTACGAGTATAGAAGTCTATTGGTTATATTTTATAATGATTTGGTACATGATTACGAGTATAGGAGTCAAAATATAACAATAAACTCCTGTACTCATAAGCATGTACCAAATCATTTATAAAATATAACCAATAAACTCCTCTTTCCACATGTGCCTTGAAGTGCACAGTGTATTATTACACCAAATGCTGAATTGTAGTTGTAATAAAAGCTAAACATTTCATAAATTCTAGGATGCATTTATACTCAAAGCTAAGAGTTTAGATATGTAAAATACATATATATAAAAAGAGTTAACATGACCATGTATTTTATAGGTTAATTGAAATGGTCCTTTGGTTCAGTAAGTATTAAACAGGAAGAACAGATCACTCGTGAGCACTGAGCAGTGAGTACAAGTGAAGAGCTTGGGGGTGAGCCATGTGAACCAGCTAGACTAATGACAAACAGTACAAATATCAAATCATTACAACCCAAAAGTAACACTACTGATTTAAAGTTCCAATACTTTTTACAAAATCTTCAATACAATTTCCAGTTTACCTGTCATTTTAAAATACAAGAATATTTCAAGTTTTTAATTCAAGTGCATGTTACTAATTACATGAACAAATCAAATGCTACTCTTAACACCCAAGCATACTACCATGCCTGATATTTTTCTGCATCAACTATCTAAAAAAAACAACAATCATCACTGATATACTGTAATCTTATAAAAAATTGAATTATATCATTGTAAACATTTATTTAACATTCAAAAGACATTAGCAAATATTCTATTTAATATAGTCAAAATGTTTGTTTGTTTTTCAGAGCAAAGCCAAAGTAGGTTATCTGCTTGGTCCACCTCAAGGAATCAAATCCAGGATTTTAGCATTGTAAACCCGTAGATTTATAGTTGTCCCACTAGGAGACAAAGTCAGAATAATTAAAATATTCAAGTTTGCCTTAAAATAATTGTAGTCGACACTGCATGTCGATATATGTTTTCTAGTAGCTAGAATCATCTTTCTATTGTCCTCCATTAAAACTTTGCCAAGTCTATAAGTTCAGAAACAAAATTATTATATTGACAGTATAAAAAATATATATAATTATCTCTTTAGGTGGATTTATTAAAATCTGTTAAAAATGTAAAACAGATATAAATACACAACTTTATTATTTGATATTGGTTAGCATGATATAAGTAACAAACTTTACTAAGCCTTGAGCTATAGCATCCGTCTGTCAGATTCAACAGTGTATTTAACTTGAAGTTTTAAAGTGAATCACTCTTTCAGTTATATGGAGGACACTTGGATGTATTTTCTTAGAAAAAAATGTTCTGTGCTATATATCCATAAAAATTGGCAGATTTACTTACTGAGAACTTTTGGTAAAACATTCAGATCTAATTAATTCAGTTGTGTTGAGCATTAATAACTAATTAGGATAATAGGAATCCTTTGTTTTAACTTAATTGTCAAATATAGCATCTAAAAGTTATCTACTTAAATCTACATATTATTGAAGTTGTTCACGCTGTATTAAAGTTTGGTATTGCAATTTTGTGTAGAAATCTATATTAAAACTTAGGATCAGGGCTTAGCTTCAGCTAATATCTGCATAAGAAATCATCTACTTTTTAGGTTACACATTAATGCATGAGACCAGCATGGTGTGACACTATAGTAATTAGTATAATTTAATCCTAACTTCACAGCAATATTCACTATTTTCTGTACCAATGCTAATATAAATAATAAAGTCAATGCTGTAAATGAGGTATAAAAACTTAAAATTATTGAAAGTACAGACACAAGGGGATATAACTTATTCCAAAGTATGATAAAACATGAAATAGTTTTTGAAATTGCAGATCAAACACCTTATTAAATATGGCATTTTGAGGTTACAGTTTTTTTTTTCATGAGTATTATAATAGTAACACTTTCCTGTTTGTATTATATTAGGTACCTCCTCCTCCCTGCTTTACTGGGAAGCCTAACAAATATGATCACACAAGAAGATAGAATGGAAGTTATAAGACTGTCAGAAGTAAGTCTAGTCTTCATAGTGGACTTTGGTAACCTAGACTGTACACGCAAGGAGTATCATGTCTGCATAATATTGTGAGATAATTTGGTGATAAAAATCTTATTATCATTACAAAATTAATATCTGCTTGGATAGGATTTCATTGGATAGTTCAATAACTGATCAGAGCATATACTGTTCCATCCTTATTTTTAAGTGTTTTAATGACAAAAGTTTATAAAAAACATTGTTTTGAAAGAAAATGTAAGACACATTCTCCAAGATATGCTGTGAGGCAATAATGTGATAATTATGTTTGTATTCTGTGGGGAAAATGAAAACAACAAAATTTTCTCACTGACACAGCAATTATTGTCTTGTGGGAATTTGGATATTAATCTCTGAAAGTTTGAAACCATGTGCACCACTACAGGTCATCAGTTCTGACAATGACAACAATAAATTTTCCTTTGATATACTGATAAATGCAAAGGGAAAAAACTAATATTAGCCATTAAAAAGGTAAGTCTAAGATGAAGGAACAACCTAAAACTGTCCATCCAATATGCAGTATCTGTTTCTATTCTTGGATGGAAGTGAAGGCAAGACATGCATTAAAAATCAAGAAAAAGAAATAAACATTGTAGTGGGTATATTCTGGTGGTTATTGAAAATAAATGGGTTGGTCACTGAAAATAAAAGTTGTGTGAAGGTTATTGTATCTAGTGTACACGTTTGTTTACAATGTAGGTTAGTGAAATAGCCTGGGGTAATAATAATTGCTGTGTCAATTTATCTCTGTTTAATAATGTATTTCTCAAGTCACACCTTCATTTTTCATTTTTAATCGAGTTAAAAATAGAAACTTATCAAGTTTTAATGAACATGTCTTACTGTCATGGACTGAATATGACTTTGGTCTGACACGGAATGTGTTGTACACTTTAATTAATATTGCAGAGATATTTATCAAACATAAACAACAAAACTTGCAACTATACAGTTCTATCAGGCATGTTCAGTCTAAGATGCTCCGACATAAAAAAATCCAAAGAAAAGCACTACAGCAATCAAATATTAGGTCATCAAGAAATTTGTCACATTTTGGAACACTTTCATTAACCACCCCCCAAAAAAACGTACATCACGTATAATAGTTAAACGAACCACCTAAACGTCACGTTAGTGTAGCCTGTATAATGTGTATAGTTTAGTGTACTCTAATCCTTTATAGTGATGGCACACGATGAGACACACATTTGGCATGTAATGCTGTTTGAATACAAGAAGGGAAACAATGCCTCTGTAGCCACAAAGAATATCAAAGAAGTTTATGGAAATGTTTTGAACATTCGTAAGTGTCAACGATGGTTCGGCAAATTTCATTCAGGTGACTTTAGCCTTAAAAACTGTGATGGCAGGGGCCAACATGTTGGAATTGATATTGATACTCTGAAGACGCTTGTTGAGTCTAACCTAAGGCAACACACTCATGAAATGGTCCTGAAATTGCATGTCTCTCA